AATAGCTATCCCTCGCTCAGGCAAAACTCCCCTTGAAGTCCCCGTCACCTTTATTTAGGTAAGAATCACAGAATCGAGCCCTTCCTCGCTTTACTGTCAAGGCCTTTAGTGATGTTGGCTTTACCTTCCACATTCCACAACATTTTTAAAGCATATAGGATCCGTATTTTTGGAGGAAAATAATCTGAAACACATATAAAAGGCAAGAGAAGCAGCAATGCTGTCAGAGAACTCATGGCGATAGTATATCAAACTAAAAAAAAAATTAGAAAGAGCAAAACAGACATGAGTTTGACAACGTGCTATGACAACAAGAAAAAAAAAAACTCGGAAAGAATTTGGGGCTACAGAGGCTGAAGCATCAGATATAGAAGAGCGAGATAAGATGAATGTCCCAGCTACAGGGCTTTGTGTGATGGCAGCTGAACTGCTGTACTCAGTAACTTATTATCAAAAATACAGTGACACGCTGCAATTGCAAAGAGAGGAATAATAAAAGCAAAAACCAGCTGCAAAACAGCAAAATGGTCAAGGGTCTAGAAGTGCTGGTTTACGAAATACATAAAGAACTAGATACATATAATTTGCCAAAACTGGCAAGTACATGTTAGTATCTCAGATGTTTGAGAAGTGTGAACACGAGGCAAGGCAAGGGACTGACTCAGTATTTATACAAGCAGTATTACTTGGAGCAAGAGGATGGAATTAAAGTGGAAAGTTCCTGAGCGTGTGCTTTGTTATGGAAAACCATCCGAAGGAAAATAATAGCAGTCCCACCACCACTTGGGATTTCTAACACTAGAATAGCAGAAAAAAAAAAAAAAAGGAAAATGTGATACATGACCTAATAGGTCTTTCTTAACTCCTGTGATTTATCCCGCAAGACTAGCAGAATGTACTCCAAAGCCGCGTATGTGTGCACACATCTTCTGTTTGGGAATGCTGTATTGGTTTTAGCTTTCTGAATTCATAACCGCACAAAGCCCGAGAATATTTAGATTTTTCTTTCTGAAGATGTCCATAAATCAGCAGACAATAAAAGGGGAAAAAAATACACCGATGATATGATATCCTAGTATTTCCCAATATCCTTGACACAGTAAATCAACGGTTTGAGTGAACACAGACTACAAACGGAACAGCAATCAAACAGAAACGTTAATGCAAATCTCCTATGCACACTGACACAGTAACAAAAGCTATTCCATTTTGTCATGATCCAGTCCTACCAGATGCTAATAGAAGTACATGCTCACAGATCTGTAAATACGCCGTGGGTGGGATTTTCAAGAGCACCTAGCACCGGTCCTCAGGCCACTTACATCAGCCACAGTTGCTCCACGGACTTCACTAGGGGGAAGCTTCTGAAGGTCCCATCCCAACGTTCAGAAGTAAGACGCATTTATTCCGCTTTTACAAGCCCCAGTCCCTCACGGAGGCACGGAGGCTCCCCTTACCTGAAGGGCTGGCTGTTTGTCATTCCTCTTCGGAGACTTTAATCCACTAACTTGTTGCTGCTGCCTGCTGCTGCTGTTGCAGTAGAAGCTGCCGTGCCACCTGGAGAGCCTGCGAGGAAAGAGGTTTGAAAATTGAGTTTACAGCAGACAGGACCTCAGGAGCTACACACACGGCACAGGGTCGAGGCAGCCCTTGATCATGAGTACCGCTCCACTCCCGAATCACCTCCGCCGAGGAAAGCAGTGGCTTCCACCAAAAAAAAACCACCCAACAACTCAGCACTTGCACGCAACGAGGTGATATCCCACCGCTGCATTTCCCATTTTGACTATGGAGAAAAACAGCAGCAGCTGAAGTTCAGCTCCTGCGTGGGAACCTCAAGTAACTGCAGAAATCCCAGCGGTGAGCACCATACAGTTATTTTTATTCCCTCTCTGGAGCGACTCATAGCCCTCCTTGCTACCAGTCAGGCTCATGTGCTAATGGCTTCCACGCTCCTCTTCTCCAGAGGGTCAGGTCTGGTTTACAGAAGAGGGCAGTCGTATATCACTAGCTGCTCTCCTGAGCACCAGAGAAAGTCAGGGAAGTTTCTGGAAGGCTATGGCGGGAGGAAGAGGAGAGCCAGCGGCAGGCAGAGCTGTGCTGAGTGCTGGAGGTACCGCGCTGAAGGCTGAGGAAGCTGTGAGGAGCTGAAGAGAATGCCATGGAAAGTGGGGACAACATCTCACCCCACCAAAATCACTAAGAACAGCATCAGGGACTGGGGTGGGAGGGGACAGAGCAGCAAAGGGACAATGCGGATTCACGGGATGGAGGGTCAAGCGACGCGATCCTGAAAGTATGAGCAGAGCATCACACGGTGGTAGATTATTGCAAAATTTCTGCAGAACAAGAGAAAAACGTCCCTGGACACTACAGCCAGCTGCTCCACAAGGCCCGATTTCTCCATCAGGTCGAGAAAAGCAAGAGGAGATGAAACACGGGGGAAAGCAGGACAATAAGCTGGAGCAAGTCCCTCTCCCAGCTCCCTCCCAGCCCCCCAGCCAGGGGACTGCAAGGAAGAGGCCGATCCCTGCAAGACAGGCTGTGGCACAGCTGAGGCTCTGCCAGTGAGACCCAAGCCCACTGCTCCCAGAGGATTCACCAGCGCCGGACTCGGGCTTTCTTGGTCTCCTTGGAGACGTTCGGTACATGTGTAGGTGGAAAAGTGGGAAGGCTGAAGACTTCATTAATGTAAAACAAGAAAAATAGTCCCTTTGCAAGATGCCTACACGGAAGGAGGGAAAAAGCCTTCCCCACTCCTACTGTGTATGCTCTCTGAGTGATTTAATTAATACCTATTTAATTAAGGAGTCAGATACGCTTCGGGTTTCACTTGCTTCTCCAAGTTGCAAAGTGTTTCATCTCAGCGCAGAACCGCCAGGAAAGCTTTGACACCAAAGACTGCAAACTCAGATCCGTCACCCCCCAGTAAAACCTTGTTATTTTATGGCCTAGACCCATCTTCCTACTTTTGAAGGGACATCAGGCAGCCCGGGGGGCTGAAGAACCACCATTGCTGGCCAGCACGTCAGGGCAAGCGGGGAAGAGAGACCTCACTGCGCTCTGGCAACGAGCCCTCCTTTCAAATTCAATAACAAGTCTCCACTGGATCGGAAAAACTCCTTTAAGGGTGGATGTGATTTCCAGCGGAGCTTGGTGCGATGAAGGTAAAATTGGATTTTGCATTTCAAGCTGGTTGGAGCTCCATGCACCCGCAGCATCTCTAAAACGGTCTGTGTCCCTGCAAGGGGTAGGAGGAGGTGCCGGGCATACGCCGGGGTGGGTGAGCGTCTGTGCTCCCACGCACGCAAATGCCCCTGCCGTCAGTTCAGCGTCAAGAACCAGAAGACCCTACAGCTTACCGATTAATACAACGCCACAAAGGAAACCTTTATGCAGAAAGTGCTAAGTATGGTTAAAAAAATGTTATTTTTATTGAATTAGCTTATTTAGCTGGTAAAGCATCTTCAAGGGTGGGCAGAGGCAGCAGAAATAAAACCTACAAGACTTAAGGGGATGGGCAACAAATACTCACCTACTTAACAGGGGTGTTGTATGGCTTATTTAATTAATGAATACTTGTAAAGCACTCTGAGTTGCTCAGACAAGAAGCGCTATACAGTACAAGCGCAACATATTATTATATATTATTAAGACTGGCTCTGCAGAAGAATAATTCCAGGTAAATGTGCAATCAAATGATCATTTTAGTTCCCAGTAATTAGATTCAATAGGCCAAAAAAAACACAGAAGCCTTTCTTTAATTATACACTAAACAATCAGAACATCCCTAACCTTTCGAGCTACAGCCTTTTTGAATAAAACATCATCAACTTATAGATATTATTCCAAAAAGAACCAGTCACCATATGTGTTGTCTCTTTGAAATACAGTTGCTATAGCAGACCCTGCATGCATTTCATGTGATATGATCATATTCTATCCGTTCTGGCAGCTGAGAGGTTGCACAACTAAAATTGGCTGCCAGAAATTTTTGAAGATTCCCAGAACAAGTAGCCATGCAAGAAATGCCTCCTTTCTACTCCAGCTGGCTGCGGAGCTCCGTGCAGCTCGGCAGGGTGGCCGGTGCCACCACAAGCCCTGACCATGCCTGGTCCCATGCCAATGAACATCTCTGTCCTCCAGCCAGGCTTGCGATGGCAAGGCTCCGATGGAGCAAAGCCAGAGCTCTGTCCCTGCTCCAGTCCCACCTGCGCAGCACCCACATCTCCACACACCCACCCTTGTGCAGGCTTTCCACTTGAGGTGACGTCCACACCTCCCTGCTCCGTGTCCGGCTGGCACTTGTCCTGGCACTGAGACATGGTGGGATCAGCGATGGAGAGAAGGAGGAAGCAGCACAGAGGGTGGAGTGGGAGGGAGAAGCAAAGGATTAAAAGAGAATGAAAGTAACAAATGAGTTGACTGGAGGGAGCATCACGGATACAGGGAGCTGGGATGGACAGGAACAGCGAAGGGAGAAACACGGAGGGGCAGGCACGGGTGGGATGGCGGCAAGCTGACAGCTCAGGGGATTGCAGCTTGAAATGGCATTTCCCATCTCTCTGCTCTCAAGATTTCGCTCTTCCACTTATAAATAACTGACAGCAATAAAAGCTAAGCATCAGATGAGCTTGGGTTTAAGGTGTGGAAGGGTGTTCATAGCTCAGATCTGGTTCTTACTGAGCATCTGCACCAAGTAGCTACTGCATCCTTGGAGGTACAGTGAACCCAGGGATGCCAAGTCCCTTTGCCGTTCTGCATTTCCCAGCTCAGCCGTTCCTCCCTCCGGCCTCGGACCAAGCATTCCCCCTCCCATTTCCATGTCTCATCCGCACTCCGCACACACAACGGGATGTGCAGAAAACAGACGGCTAGGTCAGTACGGGAAGCACCAGCCCTCTTTCCTCTTATACGCAAAGTATTTCAAGCTCATCTGGAGTGCCTTCATGAAATTAATTTGCTGATGTCGGTTCAAGCCCGGTGGACACCTGCCCTCATTACGCCGGCACATCCCATTTAATCCATCCCGACAAGCGCCGCACCTCGACCCCCTTCTCCGGCTCCACGCAGCCATCGCTCCCGTGCGGAGCCCACCGCCGGGTGCCGGCGCGGGAGCCGTGCCGAGGCTGCCGACGCTGCGCCGCACTCGAGCGAGGAGAGACAGGGGAAATTAATTTGAGAGCGAAGACAGTCCCACAACCTTCATCAGCACGGAGATTCGCAAGCAGGCCTGTACATTAATAAAGCTTCCTGTGGGAGTAGATGTTGCCTTTGATTTGCATGTGAATTCAATGCTAGTGAGAAGTGCCAGACTGTCAGACATGGAGACCAAAGTCTCTTATCTTTCCAAAAGCTTCTGTAGCAGTTTCCCCACATTTCCTTAATCATCTGCCTTGTCCTCAACTTACTGAACAGGCAGCAGAGAGTAAAGCTGGACTCGGTTCAACTCCTGCTGCTGCCAAGTCCTGAAACAAGGGTGCCAGGACTGTTTACTGCTAGCCAACAGCTCTGCTAACGTGGCCCTCTGCTCACGAGCGGGTGCTCTGACATCTCCAAGCTCTTTTCACACATTCCTCCCCACTGCCATAGTTACATCCTAAATCTCCACCACGTGCTTGCACTTCTGCAAGTGAACAATTGCCAGGGGCCATGGTAAACCAGCTCGTGTTTGTGCATCCAGGCAACTGAGTTCTCCTTCACGGGACCAGCAGGTAGAGACTCCAAGAGCCCTCAAAACCACAGAGGTGCTTCAGGTATCCGGGACCGTGACTACCAGCAGCCGTGCTACGTGCTGTCTATCTGTGCCAGATCCAGACACCAATCCTGGCCTCCAGCAGTTAATCACAAAGCATCAACAATCATCCTCCCCTCTGCCCTAAATACAAATAGGAAATCTTCCCACCTACTGAAGGAAGAGGAAGAAAAGCATCCCCTAGCAAGTGCATCTTCTGCGTACCACGGACTTTGGTCACTATCAACAGGGATTTGAAAGGACACAATCAGTAAAGGACTCACTACCAACCGAGTCATCTTGATTCTGCTCGGTGCTACGCCTACACGCAAGATTCAGTAAATGAACTCCTGAGCCATTTTGTTATCCATTAGGAAATCACCCAGAGATAAAGAGATTTTCTGGCGTAAAACAGAGACCGGTAAAAAGGCAACTGAAATGCAGTACTATAGAGACATTGCACAAACTTGGGGTGGTATGTGGGAGCCAACACTGGGTGACACTTAACTCAGGAAAAATTTTAACAGCACATTCACTGTGAGATGAATCAAGCCTGTTTCATTCAAAGATGCCACGGAGCAAGTGGTAAATCCCACCAAAAATCCCTCTCCCTGTGCTTAGGGAAGTGTCAACCATTCAATGTTTCCCAACTAGTTAAGCACTGAGGGGGGGAAGTACACATCGGAGATGACCAAGACAATTTTATTGCAAGATAGACAGAACGTGACTTGTTTGCCCAGCTGTTGTTTGCCCAGAACATCCGGCACTGTTATCACCCGAGTTACTGTTGTAATTCGACATTTTCACGCGAGTGGCTCAATCTTTCGGTTTCATCATCTGCTTCGGGCAATTTCTGCTCGAAGGGTAAAAATGCAGCCCTGCCTCTGACTTCACGTGGCTAGAAATTCGGAAAGTGGGCTGAAGAAGGGAAACACACTGGAAAAAGAGGGTAGAACTTCAAAAATAGAAATGCTGCTTAAATGCCATATACTTGCTTACGGTATTAGTACATAAGGAAAACAGTAACAGGATCCAGTCCTATGGAGCCTCTTGCTAACTTGTTCCACCACTGCAGCCAGTAAAACAAGGCAGCGACTCTCCAACTGTTTTTCCATCAGCCTCTTTCTATTGAAGAAAAAGAGCTCAAGCTCCTCCCTTCCCATCTGCTCGAACCGATATTAATATCAATCAGCTATTAATGAAATATGAAGACCTACGGCTATAATGGGCCTGACTCGAACGTCAGAAGAAGCCTGTTTCTGCATCTGAGGTTTATCAGGCAAGGAAAGACCGATCCAGGAAACTGCAGGATGTACGGAAAGGTACGTATGTTGGAGGGTGGGGAGACGAGCAACAGACGTGAGGATGCAAAAGAAACCAGCATCCTGTCTGACTGCTGATTCCCAGGGCAGTTGTGCGGTAATCGGCTGCCTCCGAAATGGAGAAGCATGCACACAGAAGTTGCAAGAAGGGCACAAAACAAAATCCCATGTGTTTTTACAGATTCCTAGGATTTTGGGCCTTTCCAGGTGGACAAAGCTGCCCATCAAGAAAGCAACTTGAGAAAGGAGGAAGGAAGTGTTCCCAGAAATCAGAGATGGTCCCACAGCCATCTGAAGTGTCCAAGCAGTAAATCTGGAAAGTCACTCGCCAGCCAACATCATCATCTGTCCGTTATTTCAGTTACGGTCATTAAAAAGCAAAACACAACACAACAAGCAGAGAGAGATGAGACAGAAGATATTTTAAGGGCATAATCTACCCTTGGAGAAAACACAATGCTACCCCAGTCCCAGACTCCAGAAGCAAGACCTTCTGTGCTGACCTCCGAGCAATGACAGATAGCCGGCTCCTCATGCAGCTAAGAGTGCTGCTAAGCTTTCCCCACCGTGTTTTAGATGAAGCATGGCTTTGCAGCACCAGGCATGCAGTTCTCCCACCACCTATTTTCCCCCAAGTTTCGCAACAGCTTTAGGCACTGAGGAGCCCAGCTAAAGGGGTCTCTCCCAGCAGAGGCATGGCCCACCTCTCAGCAGGGTTTCTTGCTTCCATTTAGTCTCGCAAGGCAAGTACCTTTGTTTCTCCCGGGTGGGACGAGGAGGGATTTAGACTCAGTCAGCAATCTCTCTTCTTGCTCAACTCCCATCTGTCCTCACACCCCGCTCCACTCCGCAGCTGCTCCCAGCAGAGTGGCAAGATGCAGCTCACAAGCTCGGAAGCCCGGATGCACCCCAGCTTCGGAGCTGCTTCATGTCTCTCCCACTCCTGCCTCCTCTACCTCCTCTCCTGCGACACCCTCTTCTCCTGGAGCAGCAGATGTAGAGGAGCGGTGGTAGGAGGCAGACACGTTGGAGGGGAGCCCTGCTGCAGCTCTCCTCCGAAAGGCTGAGGAGCCGCACAACGTGTGGAAACCGGCGAGGAGCGGAGCAGTATGCAAAATGGGGAGAAAAAAAAAAAAAAAAAACTAGTGCAAAGCGACAGCAGTGGGTAGTGCTGTTCCTCTGGGAGGAACAGAACAGGGGGAGGTGAGAAGAACCAACTAGAGAGAATAGGAAAGGAACCAAAATGAAGAGGAGGAATAAAGTGTAGAAGATGCAAAAAAGAGAAGCAGATGTTCTTGCAGCACTTATTCCCTCTGACATTCATACCCAGCTCTTTCATCTTCCTCCAGAACTGGGAAACGAGCTGCTACGTGCTCCCTCCCCACTCCCACCATCCTGACCCTCTGTGCCACACATCAAAATGAGCCAAGGCCAAGAGCCCCAACACTGCTCCTGGCACCGCAGCGGGGAAGCCTGGAGATAACTCCAGTCAGGACACGGGGCTCTGCTACGGGACACAGCTAGAATCCAGTGTAACCTGGTGAAGGAGCCCTGCTGTCCAGCTGCCTCACCAGCCCTGCATTCATCCATCTCCATATCATCCTCTCTTTTCTTGTTTCATTAAATAATCCTGCTCTATCTATCCTGTACCCAACTCCGCTCCGCAGATGCATCAGAGGGATGCTGTGAGCCAGGGGAGATGGTGCCAGCTGCCTGCACCCAGCGCCTCACTCCGCTGCAGCTCCATCCAAGGGGCTACCAGCCAGCTCCTCAAAGAGAAGAGCTTCAGCAACAATCCTTTACTCAAATAAAACGATCAGCTGGCCCTGAAGGCTTCGCTTAGATGCAGCAGACTGATCTAGCCAAGTGACTAATGGGTGATTCTCATGCTGGAAAAAGAGAAGGGACCTGGAGGTCCACATGTACAAAGCCCGGCTCACATCCTGTCCTTGATGTAGCGGGGGCAGGCTTGGAGCAAGGGAGCTGGCAACGTGCCTCGGGCTGAAGCATCTCCTAGAATAGTTCAGTCATAAGGAAAGAAGATGAGTCTTTATTTTTCTTCCAACAGGCTCAGTTTCGTTCCTCTGGAATAGCTCCTGGCTATCAGTTGAGGAGATCCCTCCAGAAAAAGGCACTGGAAACAAAAACCCTTTCTTCCAAATCCACAGGGTGGAGTTGCCTGTGCCCAGCGCTGCTACACTCGGTCCTCGTGGGTGCTGAGGTTACTTCTGCTGGCAGGAGGATGTGCAGAATCGATGCTCCTGCCCTGCTGCCCTGCAGCCCACCCCACAGCTGGGAAAGTCCCTGCCTGTCACCCCATCTCTGCGGCAGTGGGGACCCAGTCCCACGCAGGGGTACGACAGGGATTCGCCTCCAAAACACCTGATTTTCATTTTGTAATTTATTCATGAATTCCACCAACCTGGGGGGAAAGGCAGTCGAGGTATTTTCCTCAAATAGCTGGAGACGTGAGTGGGATGGGAGGGGGCAGGCGGCGCGAGGCAGCGGGGGACGAGGTCAGCCCCAGCAGAGCCCAGAAACCTGCGAGCCCTGAACCAGCCACAACAGCGACAACGGCTACAAAAATCCCATTCTTGAGGCACAAACGAAATCCTCAGGCGGCTACACTGTAAAAACACCTTCTGTCTCCTCTTTTAAAAAGTCACAGTCAAGACTCATCAAAGCCATTTAAAAAGCATCTGGCAAAAAGTTCCCAAACATTAAAAATGGCTCTCTTTATTTTGGCATGTCAAGATTCACAGCATGTAGCGGTCTGTACCAGCAAGAAAGGAGGGATGGGCCAACACATCCTGGTAAAATGAGAAAGGATACAAATCTTGGCTCCCCGTGCAAACTGAACCAGAACTGAACTATGTCTGAGTGATGAAAAAAATCTTATGGGATTTCCAGCTCGTTTCTGTAGGCTCGGGATCAGATTCTGAACTACTGTGTTTATCCAAAAGTGAACCAGACCTTTGAATATTTGGAGGACTATTCACTGCTGAGCCGCGTTTTTCTTGGATGTCAAAAGCACGGGAAGTTCTCATATTTTTTAACAGAGAAGAAGGGTAAGGTGGGGGGGAGAAGGAAGA